CGCGCGGGTGCCTCCGCGAGCGCACTTGGGGCTTCTGCGGCTAAGACACCCATGGGCGCTTGGGGCTTAAGTGGGCTACATCGGATGGCCTTAGTTGGCAGTGCGTTGGGGCCACCGCGGGCGCGCTGGGGGGCCCAGTGGGCAGCGCGCCGGGGCCTTTCTGGGCAGGGCGCTGGGGCTTCCCCGGGCGCGCCCGGGGCCTCTGCGGGCCCGTTCGGGGCCTCTGTTGCCTCTGCGGGCGCGCCTGGGGCATCTGTGGAACCTCTGTGGGCGCGCTTGGGGCATCTGTGGAACCTCTGCGGGCTGCGTCTGGCAGCTTCAGTGGGCAGCGCGCTGGGGCTTCCGTGGGCGCGCTCGGGGCCTCTGGGCTGCATTGGCGGGCCTCTGCGGGCGCCCTCGGGGCCTCTGTGGGCGCGCTTGGGGCCTCTGTGTGCTGGGGCCTCTGTGGGCTGAAGCGGGATACTCAGTGGGCAGCGCGCCGGGGCGTCTGCGGGCTCGCGCTGGGGCCTCTGGGGCCTGCGTGGGCGCGCTTGGGGCATCTGTGGGCTGCGTCGGAGGGCTTCAATGGACAGCGCGCGGGGGCCTTTGCAGGTGCGCTCGGGGCCTCCGCGGGCTGGGGCCTCCGCGGGCGCGTTTGGAGGTTGCGCCGGGGGGCCTCCGTGGGCAGCGCGCCAGGGCCCCCGCGGGCGCGCTCGGGGCCTCTGTGGGCAGGGGCCCTTGTGGGCTGCGTTGGGGTGTCTCCGTGGGCAGCGCGCTGGGGCCTCTGCGGGCGCCCTTGGGGCCACTGCGGACTGGGGCCTCTGTGGGCCCGCTTGGTGCCCCTGTGAGCTGGGTCGGTGGCTCCAGCGGGCAGCGCGCGGGGGCTTGCGCGGGCGCGCTCGTGGGCTGCGCGGGCCGGGGCCTCCGCTGGCGCTCTTAAGCGCGCTGGGGCCCCTGCGGGCGCGCTCTGGGCTCCTGCGGGCTGGGGCCTCTGTGGGCTGCGCGGGGGGCCTCGGTGGGCAGCGCGCGCTCGGGGCCCCTGCAGGCTGGGGCCTCTGCGCGCGCGGGGCCTCAGTGGGCCGTGTCGGAGGGCGTCGCTGGGCAGCGCCAGGGGGCCTGCATGGGGTTGCTCGGTGACTCTGTGAGCTGGGGCTTCGGCGGGCGCGCGCGGAGCCTCCGCGGGCGTTGCATGGGGGGCCTCAGTGAGCAACGCGCTGGGCCCTCGGTGGGCGCGCTTAGGGCCTCTGCGGGCCGGGGCCTCTCTGGGCTGCGTCGGGGGCCTCAGTGCGCAGCGCGCCGTTGCGGCGCCCTCGGGGCCTCTGCGTGCTGGGGCCTCCGTGGGCGCACTTGGGGCCTCTGTGGGTTGTGTCGGGGGGCCTCGGTGGGCAGCGCGCGGGGGCCTCTGCGGGCGCGCTCGGGACCTCTGTGGGCCGAGGCCTCTGCGGGCGCGCGTGGGGCCCCGGTTGAACGGAGGGCCTCCGCGGGCAGCGCGTGGGCTGCGTCCGATGTCCGAAGGCCTCAATGAGCAGCGCGTCGGGGACTCCGCGGTTTCGGCGCCTCTCTGGCCAGGGCGCGTGGGAGCACAGTGCGAGGGGGCGTCGAGCGGGGGGCCCTGTCGTCGCAGGTGGGCCTCCGGCGCCGCCGCTGAAATTCAGTCTCGGGCCACGGGCTCTCGAAGTACAGCTTGAGGAAGCAGCGAACAAGAGCCCTGTCGTCGCGGCTTGGCCTCCACCACATTGACTGAATGACGATGGCGTCTCGAGCAAGAGCGCCCCCTTCGAGTTCGGGGGCCTCTCTGGCAAGGACCTCTGCGAATACATCTTGAGGAAATATCGAAGGGGGGCCCTTGTCGTCGAATTCTGGTCTCCACCAATTTGGCTGAATTTGGCTGATGAGCCAGCATGCAGGCGCCGGTCATCGCATCAAGCTCTTCAATTCCACGGCATTGCCAGTCCTGTTGCACGGGTTGGCCAGCCTGGCGCTGAAGCCGCAGCACCACGCCATGCTCCGGGGAGCGCGGACAAAGATGCTCCGAAACATGGCTGGCTGGAGGAGAGCGGAAGGCGAGAGCTGGCAGGGCACGATGCGCAGGATGCAGACGCGCGTGTCGAACATGCTGTCCACGGCGCCCTCCCCAGACGCGTCGGAAATGATGTTCTCTTTGAAGTGGCGGCTGGTTCGCCGGCTCTTCTGTGGAGGAGTTGAGAAATGAGCGCCCGTTCTTCGACATCTGCAGTCTGCTCACCAGCGAGCGCGAGGCAGACCACCGCTGCAATGGATGGATGACTTCAAACAGTTCTACACGCAAGTCGGGGCATATTCTCTGGAACAGGCGCTGCAGACGCCAGGTAGGGAGGAGCAGCACATCAAGTTCTGCATGATGGAATTGTGATGCCCCTCCCTCCTCCCCCCCCTTTTCTCCCCCTCCTTTTCCCTCCCCCCCCCCCCCCTTCATGTTGCATTTTCCGAATTCCCAATTCCACAGTCTGCTCATGTGTCATATGCGTATGTTGTCTGGCTGGTAGTCGAATTGTACACCCATGCCCTGCGCAGAGCCGAGCAGCTGACAGGCATGCTCGCGTGGTTCGCTCGCTCGCAGGAGAAAGTCTCGATTGAAAGCGCCGTTCCTGAATTCGGGTGCCTTCCTGGCCAGGGGTTCTCGGAGTAGATCGCGGGGAAATGTCGAGCAGGGGCCCTCGTCGTCGCGGCTGGGCCCCCGCCAGCTTGATTGAATTGCGAGGAAGTCTTGAGCGAGAGCGCCGTTCCTGGGTTCGGGGGTTTCTCTGGCCAGGGCGTATCGAGGTAAATTGTGAGGAGGTATCGAGCGGGAGCCGTTGTCGTCGTAGCTGGACCTTCAGGAGCCCACTTCTAGACCCCAAGCAAACGCTCGAGCGGGAGCCTCGCTTTCGGAGAAAATGTAGCCAGCGTCGAGGCGGGAGCGCCCGAAACCGTTTCCGGATATCGAAAACAATGATCATATGGGAATGCGTATTCAACAACAGCAACAACAACATCAACAACAACAACAGCAAGAACACTAACAAAAACCACACCGATAACAACAACAACATCAACAACAACATTAACACCAACAATAGCAACAACACACACCACCACCACCAACAACAACAACAACAACAACATCAACAACAACAGCAGCAACCACAACAAACACGACAACAAAAACAACCATACCATCAACAACAATATCAACACCAACAACACATGCACCAACAACAACAACAATATCATGCACCCCAGAACCTCACTTCAGCTACGCGCCCCGGGACAGGATGACCGTTCGGCCCCCTCACTCAGATGATGCCGCCTACCGTCGTGTAATAGACCAATCAACAGTGAGGGCGGGACGCCCGATAATGATCCAGGTCATGTCGCAAAATGCATGTTGTCCTGTGATTATCGTGGTGGCCGGGATGGTCGGGGGGGATGTCTTTGAGTCGGGTCGGCCGTCTGTCGAGTGGGCGGGTGTTTATGAACACGCAGCATGGGTACATCATTGACAGAAGGGGCAGAAAGGGGTTTGGAAGACAGGCTTCCCTAACCCGTCTGGTCGGATATCGTTTGCGGGCGTAGTTGCTGGTTTCGTGTAGGCCGCGAGAGGGCCTTCGCCGCAGCTCGTTTTGAAGGCTTGGTCGGGCTGGTGTTCGGGAGAAGCTTGTCGGGGAGGTGGTTGAAGGGGACAGTAGGTGGGGCGCATCTGATGGGACGACAGTGGAGTGCCCGCGGACTACCGTTCAGGCGGTGTCGATCAGATTGGGAACGGCACTTCTCTGCGAAGTGCTCGTCGGGAAGTAAGAATTCCTGCCTCCGACGCACCACTGGTTCTTTCTTGGGCCGTCTTGGGTGGGTCGATTGGCCCTCGGCACGTCCCGCCACCGTGCCTGGGCTGCGGGTCTGAGGCCACGCGGATGGCAGACGGGGTCTCGTGGGAGGCGTCCAGGGGGCGTTTAGGACACAGTTTTTGGACAAGTCTGGGTTTTCCTGCCGGTTTGGGGGGAATTTCTCGCGGGCCTCTCGGAGATCCTTGGGAGCGTGTCGGGTGGTTGTCTGGGCAGTTGGGGGGCGGTTTTGGGTCGAAGGCTCGAAATGCTCGGTCGGGCTCCCCTTCTGGGTCTCCTTTTGGGGCTGTCCGGAGCCCCCCTTGGGCCGTCTTCAGAGCTTCTTCAGCGGCCTCGGGGCCCTCTTCGGCCGTCTGGGAAACTTTTCGGGGACCTCCTGGGCAGTCTTGGGGCGATCCAGGACGTATTGGACGTTGTTAACGTACAACCTGCGAATGTGTTGACAATGCACACTTTCGCATGGGACTGGTGCGATTGTGGCTTGGGACGCCTCTTGAGAGCTTCTTGCTTGGGACGCCTCTTGAGGCCGTCTTGCTTGGGACGCCCCTTGAGAGCTTATTGGGTCGTCTTGGGGGCCGCTTGAGCCGCCTGGAGGCCAACGTGGGCATTGTCGATCTATATGTCTGTGGTTCTAGATTCTCTGAGCGGTGTGGGGGCCCTCTTGGGCCATGTGACAGCTTTGATGGGGGCCGTCTTGGGGCGACCCAGGAGGCTTCTTGGAGCTGTTTTGGACGTTGTGACCGCAGAGGGGTCGAAAGTGCTGAAAATGAAGGCTTTCTCACGGCAATGGGCCGATGTTTGCTATTTGAGGCCGTCTTGGGACGCCTTTTGAGGGCATCTTGAATTTTCTGTGATTATTTTATATTGATGTGTTTTACGCCGTCTTGAGCGGTGCTTTTGAATTTTTCGAGCGGTCTTGAGGCCCTCTTGGGTCGTCTGAGAGTTCTCTTGGTGATCTCTTGGGCCGTCTTGAGGCGACCCAGGAGACTTGTTGGGCTGGCTTGGGCGTTGTGATCGCAGAAGAGGCGAAAGTGCTGAAAATGCAGGTTTCTCCATGTAAATGGAGCGATGCTTGCTCTTTGAGGCCGTCTTGGACGCCTCTTGAGGACTTCTTGGGGCGTCCTGGGGGTCTCTCGGGCCGTCTGGAGTCTGGAGACCAGCATGGGCGTGTCCGATCGATCTCTCGGCGGCTCGTCGCCCTCCTGGTCTAGCACCACTCCAGAGTTAGGGTGGCTTGCTATGAGCAGGTGTGTCATGGGGTCGGCGGACTTCTGCTACCTGCCCCGCGACTTCGCCTCTGGCAAGAACATGGGCCACGCGTTCCTCAACCTCGTCTCGAGCGAGGCGGCCGCCGAGTTCCAGAGGGCGTGGCACGGGCGCCCGACGTGCGCGGGCCGCCCGGTCGGCGCGCCTGGGGTCGAAATCTCCGTGGCCTCCGTGCAGGGCCTGGCCGCCAACATTGCCCGATCGGAGAACCCCCGCATGAGGCGGGTGCGCAATCCGGAGTACAGGCCGCTCGTCCTGGACTGCGGCGCACTCCACGTAGCGGGCCGCCACTGAGAAGCCCCCGATCGCTGAATGCGGTGCGATGCGCCCCCGGTCGCCTGCCGTGGGCTGTCGACAGCTCCCCCGAGCGGCTGCTGCTCACCATCTCGGAGGGTAGGGAGGGGCAGAGGAGAAGAAGGGAGTGTGAAGGAGGGGGCGTGGTCAAACCTCCGCTCGCTAATTACGAGCTTGCGCTGTCGATTGCCTGGAGTCGTGCAGACCCCTGGTACACCACCGTTGAATTCGTGGCAAACAAGACTCGTGGCCCTTGCGTGGAACTGCAAAGTGAGCCACTGTGTGATCCGAACGCGAGCATTTCTTCGATTATTGGGTTTACACTGGTCATCCTCTTCCTCCTCCCTCCTCATCCTCCTCCTCCCCCTCCTCCTCCTCCTCTTCCGTCCGCTTCTTAGTGTATTGCGAGAGTGTTCGTGGTCATTCACGCTTCTCGGTCCAGCTGCACAGTGGCTGGAAGTTCTCACCAGTTTCGGTTCAAAGCATGCTTGGACCATGGTCGGCACGTGACGGCCGATTTGGGTTGTCAGTCTGTCGTCTCGTCCTCGTTGTATCCCCCCTACCCGAGTCTGGAGCTATTGCACATGCTCAGTTTATGTTACGCTCATTGCGTTGCTGTCGGCATCGATAGGCGAAGCGCCGGCCACGCTCGCAGGACAGCCTGTGGAGCTGGCTGGGTCTGGGCGATATGTCAGCAATATGTGTCGTGCTTTCATTATCCTCAGTTTCCCTGCGCCTTCTCCCAAAGTGGCGTTGTTAAGAAACACCATCGTCGAAATTACTGCGCTTCGAAGGAGAGGGCGTGCAGGCTGATGGGCCTCGAGGGCCAGCCGGTCAGAGACAGGCCAACCTCTTCAGGGAATTGCCTTTTCCTTCCTCTCCCTCTCCTCCCCGACCACCTCTGAACCGTGGCACGCCCGTGGCGTGCGTTTCCGCATGCAGCAGAGGGAACCGCACGCGTCTTTGACTGTTTAAGCATGGTTTGTCATCGAAGGACGCCTGCGTGGCACAGAGCCCTACGGGGGGACGGCAGCCTGAAGGACATCCTGCCGCAAAGTGCATGCCGCGCCGCCCAGTATCTCGGTTTGTCGGTTTGCAATCACCCTGACGTTCCGTGCGTTGCCATCGGCGAGTGCAGGTGGACTTTACGATAATGGCTTGGACTCGCAGCAACGCGACACGCTCTGCGTGCCGACGCCCGTCGACCTCCGCAAGCTTTCGCCCATGGGCGCCAGCACGCAGAGGGCGTGCGTGTCGGCGGTGGGCGTCGGCACGCAGATGCTGCCAACGACAACTGCTCAAGAGTCCAGCTGTATTGCGAAGGCCTTATGGCAAGTGCCGCCGACCCTGAAGGAAGGGGAACGACGACAACGGCGGCGGCGGCGACGACGCTGACGTGGGTCAGAGTCCTCATGAATACTTCTTGGGGTCTCTTCGAAGCGCTCTCGAGGGCCTCTGGGGGACAGTTTAGGGGCCTCTTGGGGGCCTCTTGGAAGCCTCTTGGGGGCCTCTCGGGGCTTCCTGGGGCTTATTGGGGGCCTCTTGGGGACCTCTTGGTTCCTCCTGGGAGCCTCTCGGGGCCGAGAGCTCGAAATGTTCGTTCTGGTCCCTCGTCTGGGTACCTTCTTGGAGCCGTCTTGGGGGCCTCTTGGGCCGTCTTGGAGGCGTCTTGGGCCGTCTTGGGGCCCTCCTGGGCCGTTTTGGGTCCCTCCTGGAGCTCTCTTGGCCGTCTTGGGGCGATCTGGGGGGCCTCTTGGGCTGCCTTGGAGCGTCGGGAAGTGGAGGAGGCGAAAACGCCGAAGTTTTCAAGAATTGAAAGGAAATCTGCGATCTTTTATTTTGGGACCCTCTTGGGAGTGCTCCTGGAGGCCTCGTGGGGCGTCTTGCAGTACACTTGGGCCGTCTGGAGGCAGTCAAGGCGTCTTGTACAGATCGTTCGGCGATTCGGGGCCCTCTTGGACCGTCTTTGAAGCCTCTGGGGGCACTCTTGGACCGTCTTGGGGCTTTTTGGACCCTGGAACCCCCGGGGGGGAGTCGCATCCGACCTGGAACCCCCTCCCGGACCACCCCCCCTCCGGTGGGGGAGGAATCAAAGGGAAGGGGCTTAATTTCGCTTTGGCTGGCGCGCTTGAGGAGGAGGGCCTAGGAAGGGGAGGAGGAGCGGCGACGGGCCCAGCGCTTGAGGAGGAGGGCGCCAGGAAAGGGGGGGAGCGGCGACGGGCCTAGGAGAAGGGAGGACGCAGGGAAAGGGGACGACAGAGACGACGACTAACGAATGACGGAGACGACGACTCCAACGAACAAGCCCCTCACACACGCCGACAGCGTCGGCGGAGTCGCCAATGGTCTAGATGGCCAGATCTTGCCAACCTGTGTGGTGTCTGGCTATGTTTCAGGGGTCGCGCGCCGCAAAGCGAGGCGCCGACGACAGCCCTCCCACGAGTCACCGCTGCAGCCGCTTCCTGCACCCCCCCATGTGAGACCTGGGCCCATGCCTCTCTGTAGTATATTTGCATTTGCGACGCTGCGCCGCGCAGCTCCCCCCTCGTCTTCCCGCCGCTGCCGCTGCCGCTGCTGCTGCTGCCCCGCGCAAGCCCCGTCCCAGGCTCCCCCTCGCGCGCGCTCCGCTCGGGGATTGCTGAAGGTGTCCCTGGCCCAGGGTGGCCCCAGCTTTTCGCCCCGGGCTTTGGGTAAGAAGCGAAGGGACGGAGCTGTCGACCCCCCCCCCATCCTTCGGCTGTTTGTTCGTCGTGATTTGTTCAAGAAGTGTGTGTTCTGGGTCCTCATTGAATGATGTATTGGTTAGTTAGTCCACCAGCCTTCAGCGGCAGAGGGTACAATCGAGGGAGGGTGGATCAGTGGCACTGGCCTTCTTCTGCAGTGCTTGGGGGGACACGATGTGAATTGTCACCTTTCCCAGTTATTCAGGGATTCGAAGATATCGATCCTTCGGGACCATCTGAAGACGACCCAGGACGAAACATTTTCCCCGGGGATGGTTTCGAGAGCTCCTGGGGCCCACTTGACGAAAGAATCGTGGCGCTGTATGTTTTGGCTCCTGCATCCCTCTTCCTGATAAACAACTCCTTCCTGTCGCAGCACCAGACGTGTCCGCAGGCCAGCCTGGGAGTTTCCGTTGAGAGAGACTTCCTCGCAAGTTGCGATCTTGAAGCACAAAAGCTCCAACAGCTTCAGCGATGGAGGGCCAGTCGTTTTCGAGATGTGGCTTTCGTCGCAGCGACGCGCACACTCGTCCTAAACGTTTGCAGCCGCTTTGAAGATGTAGGACCTTTCGTTTTCAACATGTGGCTATCACCTGAGCGTCTCGTGCCTTTCTCTGCACAGCTCTGCAACAGCTTCAAGGACGGAGGCTGTGTTGTTTTCAAAATGAGGTTCTCGTGTTAGCGCCGCGAACGTTCGCCTTAGAAGCTTGCAGACGTTAAAATTATGGATGGCGGTTCCTTTTCAGACTGGGGAATTCGCCTTCGCGACGCGCATGTTCGTCCTACAAGTTCGAAGCATGCACGAAGATGGAGGATGGCTCGTTTCCAGCGTCAAGCAGCATAAGTTTGAACCAACACAGCTGTTCAACGGTGGGGGCAGGGGGGGGTACTCTTTCACAACAGGGCCATCGTCGAGAGTTCGTTGAACTGCATGATCATGCGCTCGCACTCCTTATCGTTCGCTTGAATGGCATGGCGGTCTCATCGGGTGCTCGTCTGTCAAGGAGACGCTTCCCGTAGTGAACGTAGTGAAAGGGAAGGCCTGTAGGGACATGAATAGAGGGAGGTATGTAGCATCGCTGATGCAGCATCGCTGATGCAGCATCGCTGATGCACTTTGAATTATCTCTTGTGCTCATCATCCTCCCCGTCTTCCTCCTATCAAGTCCACCGCATGGGCGATGGGGAAGTCGTGGGCAACAGCACGGCCGACCACGGAGCCTACATCTCGCTCTTCAACCAAGCTGCTGTAAGGCACCCTTGCACTCATGGAACCCTGGGAGACCCTGTTCAACTGTCCTGGATTGTCCTAGCAAGTTCATGGCAAGTGCTCGTTGGTTGCACATCAGGCTCTATTCGAAAGGACTACCTCCCGACTGGCGCAGCCCGAGGCGCTCACGAAAGCGCTCCCTCCCCGCTTTCCGTGGCGGCACGCGAAAGGGACGTGGGACGAGGGTCGGCGACGGGCCAGGGGGCTAGGGGAGGTCAGAGGGGGCAGCCCTTCCCAGGAGGCGGCGGAGCTCTTCCGAAGTCCTCGGGCCTCCAGAGAAGCCCCTTGCGGCGTCGGAGTCAGCTCAGAAAGCTTCTCGGGAGGCCAGGGGCCTCCTGAGCCTTCGGGGAGGGCGGCCCCGGCCCCTCTGCCTTCGCCCTTGGGCGCGCCGCCGAGAGGGGGGCGGCGTGCTGAAGGCGGGAAGTCTTGAGGGGGCTCGGAGGCGTCTGACAAGGCCTCTGAATTCGAGGGCGGGAGACCCCCGTGGTTCAGAAGGGCCGCCCTCCAGTGCGACCCCGTTCTGCGCGCCGCCGACGTCCTCCGACTGCCAGGGGCTAGAGGGGACAGTCGCCCAAGGTGGTGGGTGGTCGGAGGCAGCAGGAAGCCCGCCTTGCCCCGCAGCCAGTCCAGCCTGCCATAAGCGCAGGCAAGTGGCACACCATTTGAAGACGTTTTTTTGCTGAGTCCTGCGGGGGCCTAAGAAATCTTACACGGCGCAGGAGGTCATAGACGAGTAACGCAGCATTCGGTGGCAACATCAGGTTTGTGACAACGTTTTCTTATCCCCCGGAGGACTTGCTACTCTTTCACCCAACCGTTCTGTGCATGCGCGGAGATGTCTCGGCACGAGCGCACACAACTGGCGATCTGGGTACGACTCGCCGTGGGGAAAATGATCCAGGATCTTCATGATTGCCTTTCTTATATTCTGTGTCGAAGGAAGCTTGCCGAGTCTCGACTGAGGTGGCGACGCTCTTCCTCCGTCTCGTCGTCGTCGTCCTCCTCCCCTTGCCAGTGTGACGCCAATGGAGCCTGAAGGCGCGGCTGCCTGCCGACTGCCAAACGAGGACAACAGGTAGTGACATCAGGGGGCGAGTAGGAGCACCCCACCGCCCTTCCCCAGCAGGGCCTTGGTTCCTCCTTCCTCTTCAAGGGCGGGAGGGAGGGGAGGGTTGCTCGAACGCACCAGCAGAGACCAGCACGTGCATGAGCGTAACTAGTCGGTGGGCAGCGTCGATCCAGGGGGTTCGTGGTCTATCTTCGCACAGAGCTGGCTGTTCCGCTGATGTGCGCTCCGCTCTGCCATATCATTTCCGCTGCCAGACTTCGTGCAAAGTGCACTTTGCATTGTTCTTGTTGCAAGGGATGATCGGGGGGGTGGGCAATGCACACAGAAGGCAACATGCTGCCCCCCCCCCCCGCCGTCCCTGTCAAAAACTACAGCACGGTCATGGCGGGGAGTCCGCGCATGATCCAGATATTGGTGGAAAGAGCACTTTGTATTGTCTTTGCAAGGGATGGTTGGGTGCCCTGTCGAAACCTAGTGCAAAGTGATCGCGGGGCGTCCGCGTCTGATCCAGTGTTTGGTGCAAAGTGCATGTTGTATTGGTTCTTGCAAGGGGTGGTGTGGGGGGGGGGTCGGCATTGTCCCGGGTTTGTCGCTAGTCGGGTGGGGGACGAGGTGAATATTGATAAGGAGTAGTGATCTAGCTAACCCCCCCCCCCAAGAGGCGGTTGTCTCGCTCACTCCCACCCGCCCTCCCAACACACAACTAAGTAGCACCAGAGCCTCAGCACAGCACAGCATAGGCAGATGCTGCCATCGAGAACCATCGGGAACCAATGCAAACCCCAGCCAGGCGCGCCACGCCCACGAGGTGCGCCGCGCGTGCCAGGGCAACCCCACCGTCCCTGTCAAATAACACTTCAAATTGATCGTGGGGCGCCCGCGCATGGTGAGATACTGGCAATATGATGGCACCCCCATCGTCTGTCAAAAGACCATGTCACGTGATCGCGGAGCGCCCAAACATGATCCAGAGTTTGCCAGGATGGGATGGTGGCAGGGGTGTTGCTCTGTTTTTGTTGACGGGATGTTGGCGGGGGATGGCACTGTCCCTGTTGTGTCGCTGGTCGAGTCGGGGAGGGGGTGTGCATCAGTAAAGATCAGAGGGTAAATTCCGACAGGAACGCCGCAAGCCGCCTCGCTCACTCCCGCCCGCCCTCCCACCATCTAAGTATCACCCGAGATTCAGCATAGGCAGAGGTCGCCATCGGACGGACAGCCATCGGGAACCGATACAGACGCCAGGTGCGCGACGTGTGCAGAGTGCGCCGGGCGGCGACAGGCGCGCCAGCGCGCATGATAGCACACATCGGTCAATACGTCGAGCCCCACACCATCCCCATCACAAGCCAGAGTAAACCTGGGGCGGGGTGGTCAACATGGCGCTCCAAAGCAAGTCACATAAGTTCTGAGCAAAGCAAAGCATTGCTTGGCGTTGCTTGGAATCGTTGCGTGGCATTGCCTGGCATTGGGAACCCCGAGGGACCAGAGCAAGAAACCCGGGCGAGAAACCCACGGAACCCCAGGGAATCCCGAGGAGCCCAAGCAAGGAACGAAAACCAAGGATCCCGAGGAACTCTGGGGAACCCCCCTCTGGCGAAGCACCCCAGACCCACTGGTTTCTTCGCGAACATCTAAGAACATCTAGGCAAAGCGTAAGTAGCGGAAAACTCGTGCGAAGTAATCGCGGAGTGCCCGCCCCTGATGGTGCAGATTTCGCCACCACGTGCGGTTTGCATTGTTTTTGCAAGGGGTGGTGATAGGATGACCGCATGTTTCCTGGTTGTTGGCCGGTCGAGTAAGGGAGGAGGTGTTTGTCAATCGACTGGCTTTCGGCCCTCCGCCGCCGTGCCTGGGTTGTGGGTCATGGGCCGCTGGGATGCTCGTTGGGATGTCGCAGGAGGCCTGTCGAGGGCCTTGTGGATGCAGTTTTGAAGCCTCTAGGGGGCCGTTTAGGGGCATCTTAGGGGCGTCTTCGGGGCCTCTTGGGGGTCTCGTAGGGGCCTCGAGGGGGCCTACTGGGGCCTCCTAAGGGCCTCTTGGGGCAGAAGACATGGGTTTTCGGTTCGTGCTCCCCCTCTTGGGCTCGTCTTGGGGCTGCTTTTGAGCCGTCTTGGGCGTTTGGGGGGCCGTCTTGAAGCCCTCTTGGGCCGTGTTGTGGCCCTCCTGGGGGCCTCTTGGGGCGGTCCTTGGGGCTTCTTGGGCCGTCTTGGATCGTCGGGAGCTCGAAAACCGAAAATCCTATAATCCATGATTTTGCCCTCTCGGGGCCCTCATGTGAACGCTCTCAGGGCTCCCTTGGGGCGTATCGGAGGCCTCTTGGGCCGTCTTGGGACCATCTTGGGCGTCTTGGTGCGATCTTTGAGCGTCTCGGGGCCCGCTTGGACCGTCTTCTGGGCATCTTAGGGCCCTCTTGGCCAGTGTTGGGGCCCTCCTGGGCCCGAAACCATCACGCGAAAAGCCCCGAGAAGACGCGGGAAGGCCCAGTTGATTTGTGAATTTGTGGTCTCGGCCCCTTGAAGATTCCTGAGGAGTCAGGACTGAGGCTGAAGGGATTTGGCAAAGCACCCGAGGACACTTTCAATCCGTGCCCAGCAGCACGGTGGCGGGTAAGAAGCAGTGATCAACCCCTTCCCGAAGGGGAGGAAGGGGGTTTGGAATCACGACACACGCCCAAAGGGCTGGTGGGATTCAGAGGTTTGAAAGAGCGTGTTCTACCGCTGCTGGCGGAAAACCGGGGGGGGTCACTACCAGTTCGAACCCCTCCCCCCCCCCCTCCGGAAATCCGGGGGGGGTCACTACCGGTTCGAACCCCTCCCCCCCCCCCCCCAGCTCATCATGAAAAGGGGGCGGGGGTCACTACCGGTTCGAACCCCTCCCCCCCCCCCTCAAAAACCGGGGGGGGTCACTACCGGTTCGAACCCCCCCCTCCCCCCCCCTCCAAAACCGAGTGGGGGTGCGGACAGTGGTGGGGACGGTGTTGGTGGGGACAGTGGTGAGGGGATAGCGGGACAGTGGTGGGGACAGTGGGACAGTGGGACAGTGGTGGGGACGGTAGTGGTGGGGACAGTGGTGGGGACAATGGTGGGAACAGGGGGGGACAGTGGACAGTGGTGGTGACGGTGGTGGTGGGGACAGTGGTGTGGGGACAATGGGAATGAGGTGGAAACAGTGGGACAGTGGAGGGTACAATGGTGGTGGGGACAGTGGTGAAGGCGGTGGCGAGGACGGCGGTGGGACAATGGGACAAAGGTACAGTGGGGACAGTGGTGGGGACAGTGGGGACAGTGGTGGGAACAGTGGGACAGCTCAGTGGGACAGCGGAGGAGTCAGTGGGACAGTGGGGACAGTGGGGATAGTCGGGCAGTGGTTGGGGCCGTGGAGACAGTGGGGAGAGTGGAACCGTGGTGGGAACAGTTCTGGGGACAGCGGGGACAGTGCGACAGTGGTGGGGCCACTGGTGGGGACAGTAGGGGCGGTGGTGGAACCAGTGGGGACAGCGGTGGTGAGGACAGTGGTGCTGGGAACACCAGTGGGGGATGTGATGCGGACGGTGGTGGGGACCGGGAGTCGGGGGGGGTGGGGGGGCTCGAACCGGTAGTGACCCCCTCCGGTTTTCCGGATCCGAAGGGTAAGGGGGGGGGGGGGGAGGGGTTCGAACCGGTAGTGACCCCCCCCGGTTTTCCGGATGCGGGGGGGGGGGGGGAGGGGTTCGAACCGGTAGTGACCCCCCCCGGTTTTCGAGCGGAGCGGGAAGGGGGGGGGGGGGGGGGGGTTAGGGGGGGGGGGTTTGCCGGGGGAGAGGGAGAGGGGGGGGGGGAGGGGTTCCAGCAGGGGGGGGAGGAAAAGGTTGGCAATTTTCCACAGTAAAGCGGCGGTGGATCACGCTCTCTCAGAGGTTTCGATCTCTCCTTCGCTGCTTCTGCTTCTCTAAATCTGCGACTTCTTGCGAATCCTGCCGGTGCGGGTCCAATCGTTGCTGGGATATCCGGCACCCCCGCCGGTCCGTAACCATTCTGGCTCAATCCGTTTCACATCCAGATATTTTGGCCCATTCCCAAGTATGTATTTCGTAACAAATCTTCCTGCTGGTGCTGCCATCCACGGTCGCATATTGTGCTCTCCTTTTTTTAATCCTCCTTACGTTCCTCTCCAGATGGGGAGCATGCCTCCGCCTTACTGAGGTGACAGCAGATGTACGTGTACGGACATGCGAAGAGGACCAGCCATTCCCAGACAGTGATTGCAATTCGACAGGATGACATTCTCTCCATCATGGAGCGTTGGGCCATCAGTATTCGGGAAATTCTTATGCGGATGCAGGGCGATCGCGACTTGTTTGGAGGCGATTCGCTCATGGATACGGTGCATCGTCCCTGCATATTCAGCGTTGTTGCATTTGTTTGGGGCATTTCGGATGTGCCTGTTGGTCAACGGGGAAGCCGAGCAGACCAGTCTGCTGGTGCCCAGGCAAAGATATTCACGATGGACAACCATAAGCCCATCGCGATTGCTCATATGCGGTTCTGTCACTACAACCTCGGTATAAACAGCGTGAAACCTGGTGACGTGTTCTGCTTCCCGCTGACGCCCCCGCATTTCGACGTCGTGCTCCTCAACATGGTTCACAATGCGATGTTCACGCAGAAACCCAAAGAGTCCCATGGCCTGCCAAACCAGCCAATATTCAGTGCGCACGAAGCCACTGAATTCTGCCGCGTGGTGTTCTTACGCCACCCGCAGCAGCACTCAAGACCGAGACAAGGGAGTACGCAGGCCCGGAGCCTGGGTCGACTAGACATAAGAGTGACCCTTCGAAGGAGTGACCTTTGGTGCGGGCCCATGGGGTTCCCCCAATCGCCGAGCGCGATGCTAGTAGCGTCTTGCGCGCTTGTGTGTTGCCACCCCACGCGCCCCGTTAAGTCGCGCTCCAAAGGTCACTGTTACCCAGGGTCTCTCTTGCGTGTAGCCGACTGGGGATTGCGAGTGTCATGACAAGGCCGCGCTGGAGCGGCAGCACATTTTCAAGCATCATTTTTTTTGTGGAGGCGGATGTTACCAAGGATCACGAAAACTCTAGCAGGAAGTGCGCCTCTGCCAATCCGCTGATCTGTTACGCACACATGTGCAATGTTCACGGCCACTTGACTGGAAATGGATGTGATTCGGGTAAGATATTGTATTCAGGTTATCGAAGATGATGTCTCGATTAGATTCCATTATTGCAGGATATGCTTGCTAAGGCGGGCGTCTGACTGTTGCCGAAAAGGCCTGGCTTCAGAGCAGGTATCTCTCAGGGAGCGGACCTCTCGAAGCTTCGATTCAACCTGGCTCATGAAGCGTGCCTTGAAGCCTGGAGGAGCTCGAGACCACGCCGACAATTCCACCGCTCAGCGCTGGACGAGTCACAGGGCACCAAGGTTGCTTGATTAATCCTGCAACAGATCTCTGCCTTTCACCCCGTCAGTGCAGAGCTGGTGAGAAACCGCGCACTCACCGAGCCACTGCAGTGGTACATGTACCAAGCTCATGCCGCGTTCCCACACAGCTCACAGGAAACCAGCACAGTGGTGCGCCGCGGCAACACCCGAGCGACGGTGTCCTACAGGACGGGGGTAGTCATTTCCAACCTGGCCTTGCTTGGCGGGCAGCAGGGGCCTTCTGACTCCCTTACCCGACCCACCTGTCGTCAACGGCACGGACTCGTTCATCCTTGATACGGACGTGACGTTGTCATGGAAGACCCACAAGACAGTTAGACCGATGGAGGCGAGAGCTCAGGCTCGGTGCCCCTTGCAGGCCGTTGCCTCGCATGGGGGTTATTGCGCATATGGGCAGTAGCGGGCACTACCGTGCATGACCCCGCTCTTGGGACCAGGCATTTGCTGATGAGTTGCACACATGTTGCAAGGGCAAGGGCAACAGCCCCAGCACTCGGAGGTTGAGCCAGCCAATCATCCCAAGCCGGACACCAGTCCCAAGAACAGCCTAAGAGGCAGACAAGCCAATTCAGCTGACGAGCCCGACCCGACCACCGCGTCGAACCTGCGGGAAGTGGCCGAGTCCGAGAGCGAACGTTTCTTGGCGCCCCACAGAGCTTTTCTGTTGGCATTGCTAGGCTGCCCAGCTGCAGCGTCAGGTCTTGCAGCCGCTGCCTCTGATCGAGCGGGGCAATGGTGCCTCGAAAGGGGTCAAATAGAACGTGTCGTCCTTCGTTGCTGAGGACGATACCCCTGGGCTTACACGCCCACGGCAACAGTAAGGCAGGGTCACGGCCAGTGTCAGGTCCGCCTCGCGTCGTGTGGGCTGTTCCCGAGAAAGACGCCTAGTAGCCCTCGCTGGAGGAGGATTGCTTGCCTGAGGTTACGGGCCTGCCTTGGGCACTACGCCGAGGGGTCGTTTCCCTGACGAAGGTGACGGTGGCACCCAACCGCCCAAACGAGCTTATTGGCCGCTTCCGCTTCGACGCCATACCACAGCGGCGCACGGCGGCGCTTTGGCTTTGCATCGCGGGCGAGCAGAGGAAAGCACAGAGGCGGGGCTCGATGGCCCATTGCCGCCAAATCACGTTCTCGATGACTTGGCGGGGCCAGTCTGGACCATTAACGATTTCACGGGAGATGTTGCTGCCGCGGCCCAAGTGGACCGTGACCCCACGGGTGTTTTGTTGGACCGATGTGTGGCCTGAACAATTCGGAGTACACGTGGACGGATTCACATGTGTCCGCGAGGACAGCCAGGCCCACAGCTACACGGCCTTCCCGCATCGCACATCCATTGTCAACGAGCCAACAAACACGAGTGATGAGCTCTTTTGGAGCGTTACACGGGCCGAACTCATCCCGATCAGCAAGTCCCATCCCGAAATTCAACGCCCCCCATGGGACATTGCACATTACAGTTGATTATGCCCCATCGTTCATTTCCGTACGAATTCACACCATCACAAACAAACCGTGCATTGATGTCCTTCATCTTTGTCAAACAGTGTTACGCGCGCACATGCGTAAAGCCATTGTGCAAGAACTTGTTGCCCAACACAAACAACAAGACAGCCATCAAACAAACAACAACCACACAGCATACCAAACACACCAAGGAACATTAGCTATCTAGTCATTTCAACGTTGGAGACTGCAAAACCCTTATTGGTGTGTTGTTTCACATGTTGCATTCTCTGCCCGCGCGCATTTGTTGAGATCGCACGAGAGCCATAGGAGTTCCGCAATCTCGTCCCGAAATTGCATGTGCATTTCACCTTCGCCGTGCACGCCTAGTGCACGAACCCGTATCTAAGTATACCATGCGGGCCAAACGCGCGCGCCACCACGCGCGCGCGTCGAAAGCCTTCCAGGACCCATGGTGCTCGAAGCATTTCAAGATAGAGTCATTCGAAAACATACGAATACCAAACACGCGTTTTTCAACAAGAAGTACGCTTGGTTGTTTTGAATGTCTGCTCCCGCGCCCTTCCTTACCATCATCCGCATCAGCGCCGTCGCATCACCGCCGTTATCGTCATCTCCAATCGTTGCCATTTCCACCATTAGCCAAGCACTTTCATCACTAACACGTGGACGTCATCTTCGTCATCATCGCCACCACCACGGCTACGATCATCATCGTTGTCGCCGTCGTCGACGTCATGATTTCGCGTTCGCCTGGGTCACCGACCTCCACTGAAGTGCCCGCGCGCCAGCTCGGCGATTGAGACGAGTTGCGAAGTTTCCATCGGCAAGCGCCATCGCGGCCGCATCAGGTGTGCCAAACCAGCTGGCCGCCTTGCGCGAGAGCTTGCGTGCGCCAGCGCGGCGGCAGAGATGCGCCAGCCAGCCTAGCCTGTCACCGCAATCGCGGCGCATAGGTTTCGCAAAGCAAGTTGCGGATGGGATTGTGGAATGATTGCACGAGCAACGGTGTTAACGATTCATTGTTTACGAAATTGACTATTGCACACCATGAGTTGCGCTACATGAGTTTGTTATTTTGAGAAGAAGCCCTACCCACCCACCACCCACCCCGCCCACATTATTTGGGGGTATAGTTTTCCTTTGTATCATGCGCGGTCGCTTATCCTAAATATCAGCGAATACAATGCTGGCCAAGCCGGTAAGAATCCCCAGGATTGAGGATTGGGGTTTGAGGGATTATTAGTCCAAGGATTTGAGGGCATTCCAACTCGTGCCTCGGGGCACGGTGGCGGATTGCACTACGTGCGCTGCACCGCATAGATCGTTCCATACGGATTGCACGACATCGTTTGCAACATAGTTCGCTCCATATAGGCGACCCATGTATTACAACATGTAGACTGCACCGCCTTGACTTTTCGTCGGGAGTGCGCGAACCTACTATGTTGGTCCCGCGCTTGCAAATATAGCTGTGTTTGCTCAGTCTGGACTCTGGCCGCCTTTCCTCGGCTTTGCCGGCGGACTGAATACGCGTCGTGATGCGCAAGACCGCCCTCATCACTGGTATTACCGGGCAGGATGGTTCGTATTTGGCGGAGCTGCTCCTGAGTAAAGATTACGAGGTGCACGGCATCATCAGGCGATCATCTTCTTTCAACACAGCCAGGATTGACCACATCTTTGACAAGGTCCATCTTCATTACGGTGACCTCGTGGACAGCTCCAACATGGCCTCCATCGTCGCAAGGGTGAAGCCAGACGAGGTCTTCAATCTGGCGGCACAGTCGCACGTGAAGGTCTCGTTCGAGGAGCCAGAGTACACCGCCCAGGCAGACGGGGTGGGCACGCTGAGGCTGCTAGAGGCTATCCGCACCGCGGGCCTCGAGAAGACCACGCGGTTCTACCAGGCCTCCACCTCGGAATTGTACGGCATGGTGCAGGAGATTCCCCAGAAGGAGTCGACACCCTTTTACCCACGCTCCCCCTACGCAGTGGCGAAGATGTACGCGTATTGGATTGTGGTGAACTACCGGGAGGCGTACGGCATGTTCGCGCTCAATGGCATCCTCTTCAATCACGAGTCTCCGAGACGCGGTGGAACGTTCGTAACCAAGAAGGTCACGCACGATGTGGCTTTGATCGCTGCGGGCAAGAAGGATATAATTGGTCCTCCTCATCCTCCTCTTCTCCCCCTCCTCCTCCCACCCTCCCTCTGAGGATAAGCTCATCCTTGGAAACATCGACTCCTTGCGCGACTGGGGCCACGCCCGGGACTACGTGAAGGGCATGTGGATGTTCTTGCAGCAGGCCTCCCCCTCCTCCTCCTCCTCATCGCTTCCCAGCCCCCATCCTCCTCCTGCCCTCCCTTGACAAGGAGAAGCCCGTCGACTACGTGCTTGCCACGGGCAAACAGTACAGCGTTCGTGACTTGGTGTCCTTGTGCTTCGAGATGGTGGAGAAGCCCATCACCTGGCGTGGCGAGGGCCTCTCGGAGGAGGGCATCGACGAGAAGTCGGGGCAGGTGAAGGTTCAGATCTCGCCGAGGTACTTCCGGCCCACGGAGGTGGACACACTGCTGGGTGATCCCTCCAAGGCCAAGAAGGAGGTTGGCTGGGAGCCCGAGTGCTCCTTCAAGGAGTTGGTATTCGAAATGATGGAGTACGATATGAAGTCGTGCGGCCTGCCGCTTCCCAGCAGTGCGGCAGAGGTGGTGAAGAGGCAGGACAAGTGGTCGTGGTGACCCGCTGTGCTGTGCCTTTGAGAGGAGCCGTACTGCCGAGACTCCGAGCGGACATGGCCCCGCACCGCGGCGGCCCCGAGCCAGAAAAGAGCAAGCACGTCGCCGCTTGCTCGCGCCGGGGGTGCCGAAAGCCTCGCGCGAGCCCCCCCCCGCCGGAGCTGGAGCAGCTCTCCCCCGCTTCCCTGGCCGTGCGGGCCGGACGCAGGCCTCGCCTGCCGCTCTGCACGCTTTAGAGCGAGCACCGCCTTCACGTCCAGTCGGCAGTGCTCGCTCGCTGGCTCGCTCGCTCCTCGGCCGTGCGCCCGAGGATGCGGCTGAGAGTTCGATTAGTTCTAGGCCTCCCAGCTGGGGTCCGAGCAGATGGGGGTCGACGGATCGCTCAGCATCGCCGATGTGTCGTGGATGCGGCGCGATCCTCCGGCCCCAGCTACTCGGACCCCAGACCCCATTTTGGATGCTTCTAGTATTGTTCTTCGCAGCCCGAATATTTTCCTGGCGGCGCCGAGGCGCTGGAGCGCCGCGATAGCTCCGCGCAGCTCGGCTGGGAGGCGCGCGATGTTTTTTCTTGCAGGTGATTGTGTGCTATGGTGGGCACGAATCCCCCTCATCATCCACATCAGCATATTAATAGATCTTCGTCATCATATTAATCTTCATATGCATATTTGTCTTCGTGATCAGCAGCAGCGCCAGCAGCATCAGCATCACCAGCAGCACTGTCACCATCATCAGTCACATGTCGGCACGCTCCTCACAAGGTTTCTCGCCCCATAGGGAGCTCAGTTCGCATGCTGTCCCACCTTTAATTTCGGCACACCCTTGCAAACTTCATCGCCCCACAGAGAGCTACACCGAAGGCTCGCATGCCACCGCCGCACCAATTTCGGTACACCCCTCAAACGCTTCGTGGTCCTGTGGGAAGCTCCACTGAAGGCCCCAGCGGGAGGCCCGTATGCCACCGCCGCACCCACTCCGGCTCACCCCTCACACGTTTCGTGGCCCTGTAGGGAGCTCCACTGAAGGCCCCAGTGGGAGGGCCCGCATGCCAACGCCGCGCCCATTTTGGGTCACCCCTCACACGTTTCGTGGCCCCACGGGGGACTCCACAGAAGGCTCCAGTGGCAGTGACCGCATCAGTTCCCGCTTTTCATTCGGCACACCCCTCACACGTTTCGTGGCCCTACGGGGAACTCCACAGAAGGCTCCAGTGGTGGTGACCGCATGAGTCCCCGCCTCTCATGTTGGCACCCAACACGCGTTTCGCAGCCCCATAGGGAGCTGCACCGAGGGCTCCAGCGGCGGTGACTGCATGAGTTCCCGCCTCTCATTCGACCTCTCACACGTTTGCTTTGGGGGACTCGCAGGTGCAGATGGTTGTGCCTTTCGCCAGGCTAATTTCAAGAATGGCGCTCCCGCCTGGGCGGTAGCCCCACTGTTCGATGGCCAGGCGTCCAAGAGGGGGGTGAGGACTGGTGTGTGTGTGTGTGTGTGTACGTGTGGATATCGCCAGGGCCGGGATACCTCCCAGATGTTATTGCCCTTTTTGTTTCAGCACGTCCCCTGGCCTCCCCCCGTTTCCGCGCACATGCCTCGGGCCATCATGCGCTGTTTCACGGGCCCGTTCGCGCCCGAATTGTGGGCACGTCTGAGGCGAAACGCACGCCTAGGAAAGCAGACGCGTGTCTGTTCAGGGCCTACTGTCCACCGCGATGTCGCAGGCATGCCATTTAGCCCACCTAGTTACTGGGCAGACGCCAGTGGCCGCCACGCGCGTGCGCGCGAACCAAGGTCGCGAATTGATTATGAAACCTGCAACCGAAAAGCTGGGCCAGCGTTTTTTTGCTAACTTGCAGGGAAGATGGCCCAGTTTCTTGAGCACGTTCTCCCATCCAGCGTGAACAACCGAAACCTGCCCAGGCTTGTTGTAAGGAACTTCCAGGAAGCTGGCCCATGTTTCTAAGTGATGGGTTTTGGCTGTCGCAAGATACAACTGTTCTGAACCTCCTGCAGGAGTTTCTAGCACGCCGTTGGCCCGCTGGGCAGACGAATTCAAGAGAAGGGGCCCTGACATGTAGCGGCTCGTATCGTCGCGCCGGAAGTCTGTTGCCGCCCTCGTCGAGGCCGCTTCGGGGGTCCTCGGGCTCTAGGACGAAGAGAAAGACTTGGGGAATGGGATCGAGAGTTCCGTCAAGCAGTGGCGAAGCGTCCTGACCTACAAATAGGTCCACCAAAAAATGCTGTAAGGACCTATTGTAGTTTGCACTGAGTGCCCTTAGAACACTTATGGCTGAGACCGCTTTGTCTTGATACATCGGCTTCGCGCTATCAGATAATTGCGTTTGAGATTCAAGCATCATTTTATCGTTTCGCTCGCTCCGCTGGCCCATACTGTCGCACCGTTGTCGGTTGCCCGTGACGTGGGGTGCGTTGGAGTTGACGCAATGATTGTGGAGTTGGTTTCGGGGATTCGTCGCAGACTCCTGCGGTGTTGTCTGGGCAATCGTGGGATATCACGGGGCTGATAGGTGCTGTGGTTATGTTTCTGTGGGGTTGTTGGTTATGCATGGTCGCCTTGGGGCCATTCCGCAGATTGGAACTTGTTGTTGCAAGCCCTTTACTTTTTGGAGGGTGGCGGCTTGTGAATGCGATCGAAGGAAGAGAGAAGACATGATTATGGTTCCTTCCCCCTCTATGTTTCTCTCCGCTGCTATGTGTCAATCGTGTGTGGCGGGAGCGGAGTTTTGGGGTAGCCGTGGACAAGCGCGAGCGTGTCAAAGTTGGGTGGCAGAGGAAGAGGAGGTAGTTATTGTTGCGGAGCGACCTGAATCCAGGATATACATACATACGTGCATAAATGCATACATGTATACATATTTGTAGTTATATATGTATATATATATATATGCAGTTGCATATGTGTAGGTATACACATGAACAATACGACGCGTAACAATAACAGTGGTAATACGAATGCGGATATTTGCCATGCTAGCAGTAATCGTACATACGCCTGGCGAAGGACCCCACCATATGCAGTTGCGGGCACCGGTGCTGTATGTACCGAAATCGGTGGAGCGCCCTATGGGGCCACAAAACATGTGAGGGGTGTGCCGAAATTGGCGCGGCAGGCGCATGTGAGCGCTGGCATGTGGGTCTTCGGTGGAGTTCCCCGTGGGGCCACGAAGTGTGTGAACTGTGTGCCACAAAGGGTGCGGTGGGCGACGCGAGTGTTGGGGCCACGAAGCGTGTGAGAGGGGTGTTCCAAAATGGGCACGATGGGCGCATGCGAGCGCTGGTATGTGGGGCCTTCGGTGGAGGCCCCGCTGTATGGGGCCACGAAGCGCGCGAAGGTTGTGCTAAAGTGGATGCGGTGGGCGCGCGCGAGCGCTGGCATTAGGACTTCTGGTGGAACTCCCTATGGGGCCACGAAGCGTGTGAGGAGTGTGCTAAAATGGGCGCGGCGGGCGCATGCGTTGGCAGGTGGACCTTCGTCGGTGGAGCTCCCTATGAGGTCACGAAGCGTGCGAGGGGTGTACCAAAATTGTCGCACTGGGCGCGTGCGAGCGCTGGCGTTTGGGCTGCCGGTGGGGTTCCCTACGGGGCCACAACGTGTGAGGCGTGTGCAAAAATTGATGCGATGGGCGCACGCGAGCGTGGGCAGGTGGGCTTTCGGTGGAGCTCCTTACGGGGCCACGAAACGCGCGAAGGGGTGCCAAAGTCTGCGCGTCGGGCGCATGCGAGCGTTCGCATGTGGGCCTCTGGTGGAGTGCCTAATGAGGCCACGAAGCGTGTGAGGGCGTGCCAAACTGGGCGCGGCGGGCGCTTGCGAGCGCTGGCGTTTGGCGCATTCGATGGGGTTCCGTAGGGGGCCGCGAATCGTGTGAGGGATGTGTCAAAATGGGCGCGGTGGGCGCATGTGGGCGCTGGCATCTGGGCTTCTTGTGGAGCTCCCTATGGTTTCGCGAAGCGTGCGAAGGGTGCACCAAAGCGAGGGGGGGGACGGGAGGAGCACGAGCACGAGCAGGGGCAGGGACACGAGGAGGACCGGAGGAGACAAACCGAGAGCACGACAACACAAGATGGTTGGCAAAAAAGAAGACGCGGAGGACCCTTAATTCTCCAACTCCCGGGGCGGTTTCCTGGCGGCCTGGCCCCGCGACGCGACCGCGGCGAGGTCGCACGCCCGCTGGCCGAAGGTCTTCAGAACGGCCCCGCACAGAGCGTAGCCGAGCCTGACTCGCGCGCCCCTCCCTGCGGGCGCGGCGGGGCCAGGGGGGGAACGGCCCTGACCGAGACGAAACCCTTTTCCGCCGAGCTAAGCCCACGCGAGCTCGACAAACACAAATGCTTGGACGAGGCTCGGCCATGCGGGTGTTTGCCTTCACGAATTCTCTCCAATTGGCTCTTCGCCCGGGCTGACCGAGGGCGCCCTTGGCAGGCGGCCCGAAGCAACTCACCCGGGCGAAGACTTTCGCGGCAGGCTCCGCACCCCACACCGAAAATGACGGACACGCTTGCGCGCGACAGGGATTCGATTTCACATCGAACCATGGCCACGTCTGAGACGGGTCAAATCCTGTAGCACCCGACGCCTCCACCGCGCCGCCCACGCGGCCCCCCGCAACTTCGAGTCGCCTGGCTCGGGCTCAGGCTCTGGAAGCGGCGGCTCGGCGGCAGCGGGCGCAGCGGGGCTCTGCGCGGGGTCGAGACCAGCTTGCGCCCTTTCTCCGAAGCCGACTGCAAATTGACGTCGCATTGGGCTGACCAGCGCGCGGATCCCCCGGCGAGACACTTGAACCCTCCGGTGCAAATCTGCATCGGCCTCGCGCAGGGCACGCTGGGAGCTCCCATCTTGTCATGGCACACATGTCCGCAGAATCGTTAGGCCCTCTTTTTCCCGCGGCGTCGTCTCGCCGCTGCTGGCGCCCGACGGCGCGCAGCGAGCTGCTGTCTCGCAGTCGCGACGCCCCCGGGGCCGAAGTTGGACCAGAAGGGCGCCAAAAGATCCATGGCCAAACCCTCTGGGCGCGAGCGGTCCGCGGCCAGACCTGCTCTCGGCCCCGTGGGCTCTCGCCCCGGGCCGTCGGCTGCCCGGCGCGCCGCCCGCGCGCCCCGCGAGGACCTCCCGCTCGGGCGGGCGTCGCGCATCGAGTTCTCCCCGGCAGGGCCACCAGAGGGCTTGCGGAAAAAGCTCGAGCAACGCGCGGCGCGCGCGAAGCGGTTGACGGCGGGGGCAGGCAGCGGCGCCTTTCCCAGGGCGGTCGCGCGCAGGATCCCCCCCCCCTGATGGCCACGGCCGCCCGGCGGCGGCGCATATTGCGGGCCCGCAGGAGGGGGGCGACGGCCCTCGCCAGGGAGCAAGGTTCACCGAGTTTGCCCGCGATGCCTGACCCAGGGAGCTGGCCCGCCCGAGCAGCGCCTCCTCTCGATTGTCCAGCCGCTTGGACTCGCGCCGCGGGCGACCCGCGCGCGTCGCTGGAATCCTTTTCGGGGCGACCAGCTCGCGTCGCGGGAACTCCGCGCCGCGCTCTGCGCGGCGTCTCGCTCGCCCATCGTCGCTTTGCCCGGCGGCCAGGGCCTTGCCCGCTATCGGCCGGCCAGCTAGCTCTTTTTGCCCCACG